GGTCATTCGGAGATCGTGAAATTCACGATCGCCAAAAAACTAGACCAAATTCAAATAAATTATTTTCGGTGTATTTAGGATTAAATCCATGTGATTTGCATTCTTGCTATATATCATATCAAGTTAAATCATCATGTTTCAGATTTAACACAAATATAGCCGATATATAAAGAATATTTTTTTTATATTTGTAACAAATTCAATTTAATAAACTGCTTGAAAATCCATCTAAACGACCTCAAAATGCCTAAAAACAGCATGATTCACTGCATAGCAGTAAGTTTTTCTCACTAGATCGTTTTCGATGAACCTACCAAATTTCAGGTCAATCGGAGTTCATATATGACCACCAGCCTGTAACCAAACTCGGAGAATAACCGTTTTAAGTAGTTTCATGAATTAAAATAAATATGATATTGATTTCCATTATCCTTATAATTATACTATGAGCTCAAGGCATATATATTATGTTTTTCCTATTTCTAGGATACATAATATCTCCTTTTGCAATAAATTTATGCTTTTATTAAATACACAAGAACCTAAGATATTATATTTTCTCCCGTTCGGCGAAAACCCCAATATCTCTTTTCATGGGTGGAGTTGGTCTCACTAGTACCCAAAGATAAAAGTCTTTTTCTCGTTAAGAACCTCCACCACTAATGTAAATTTATCAAGGATAATTTTCACATGGTACATTAAGCAGATTTTAATGACTCAAATAAATAGACCATTTTGTGGATCCTACTTATTAATCATAATACTCAATCCATGAATGGACATAATTTCACATGTACAAATTTATTAAGAATTTTTCATGAGTTCAAATAAACAAACCACTTTAGTGGTAACTATTTATTACTCACAAAATTCTCAATTTTCAAGTGAATATACACAAGCTCATAAAATTATTTTATGGCAGAATATTGACCATAGCTTAAAAGCCATACCAATAATATAAAACTCATACAAAATACCGTCATATTTTACTTAATTACAACTTCCAACCAGAGAATATTTTTTTTATCGAAAATCCAAGACCAGTAATCATGTAGGGCATGAAAACATAAACTAAAATTTAAGAAATTTTTTATGAACAAATATGCCAAACGCACCAATCATTAGTCATCCAGGATATCAAACATAGGATTTCACTTTCTTACAAAATAATTATATCATCATACAATATCAAGTATACATTGTAAGACCTGATCAATAAAATCCTACATATTAACCATTGAATTTAATACAACAACACGACTATTTACTAATAGCTAATGTATAAACCCATCCTATCACCAGTATTTAATCATGGAGACCATGGAGAGTCACCCCCACCATATCCGAAAATAGTAATTTCGTGTGGGCGAAATTTTCTAGGAAAAAGGCTAAAAATTTCGGCCACCTTGTTCTTCCTCCTCTAGGTGAAAAACCTTATGTATTTATAGCACAAGTTTTAAGGATTAAAACCCTTTTTCAAAACCTATTGGGTTTTCTTTTCCACCAGAAAAAAGATTCATTTATTTTCTATTATTTAGGCACAGCAGGGACCACAAAATTTAATTAACAAGGCTTCCAATTATGAAATTAATTTCTAATTTTTAAAATTAATATCCACCATAATTAATTAAGAATTATTCCACTAAAAATTCGTAATTGCACTCCTTGTTCAATTTTGAAATTCATCCATTAATTTTTATTTAACTCCCCATGTTAAGATTCAGATACTAATCAATTAAATTAAATTACTGACGATTTAATTTATTGATTATTTCCTTTAGACTTTCGCTTAACTTATTTCATGTGTCGGAGACAAAATCCACCGGCTGAGTTTACACATGAAAACTTATAAGCTTTCATAAAGGTGTATCATCAATCTCTAAACCGAGACATGGATTCTATCAACTAACTATTATTTCGCCAATGTACATTATTATTATCCAATTTACCAGACATATTGACCCACGAAAGAATCTCGCCTTTTAATAAATCAAAACAATAATAATATACACAACTAATAATAATTATATCAAGATTAAGAGTATAAGTACATTTAATGGCTAGAGATTTTATTTTATTAAGTCAGTATAAAATACTCATCTCTACTTGGTCCGTTCAATACATACAAAATGTACTAGCACAAGAAGTTGGAATTAAATCATTCTCATAATCAAGATAAATTATATTTAATCTTGTGCTACAATCATCCATGATGGTTTGTCCAATTCCATCGTTAGATTATGAATTCAAATTTTATATTTATAAGAACCGATGATCTAATCTTCCGTGTATAAGTTAAATTGTATACACTAAATCATCTACTATATAAGCAAAGGACACAAACTAATATATGATCTATTTAAAACTTTATTAAAATTAAATAAATAATTATTTCATAATAAATATTATATCTAAACCAAACCCAAGAACAATAGTATCCCAACAATTTGCACATCCAGCCCTGAAACTATCCCACATCTCCTTTTTCATTGTACTGATGCTGTCCGGATTTGGTCAGCATTCTCAATGCACCCTCCCATCTTTGCACTCAATTACCAATCCTCCTCCCCTATGCTTTGGTTAAAATACTTCATCAATCACACTACGACACCAAATACACTTCACATTCCATACTCTATCGTTATCCCTTTCTGTCTTTGGCATATATGGCTAAACAGAAATGCCTCCATATTTCGATCTCACAAAAAGCCACTCTCCAAAGCTACTATACTCAAACAGGCAGCTGAATATCATTACGTTGCCTTACCAAGAAACCCAACTCCTCCTCGAATTCCCCTGCAACTCAAATGGCACCCCCTCCATTGAATACTTATAAACTTAATAGTGATGGGGCTACTAAGTTACTCTCTCACCAAGGGGGCTTCGGAGGTGTCATTCGCGACTCAGCAGGAAATTGGATAATTGGCTATGCGGGCCCATGTCGCGCTTCCTCCAGCATTTACACAGAACTTTTTGGACTTCTATACAGACTAAAAATCGCCTTTCTTCATGGATTTAAGCCTCTCGTAGTCAACATAGATGCTCAGGCAATACTCCCTCGATCTCCTAACCAACTCCCACCCCTTATTTAACAATATTATTATGGATTGCAGGTACTTCTTTGGCAACTGGAGATCCGATCGTACTACACACGTACAAGGAGCAAAACCGGGTGGCTGACATACTTGCAAATTTTGGTTGCACTTTGGACAACTCTGCGGACTTCACTACTTTCACACACCCGCCAACTTCAGTACACACGGCTTTGGAAGAAGACAAGCTAGGAATATTTTTTGTTAGACACATACCTGTTACTCTATGTACCACAAGTCGCTCAGACGCCTCTTTTTGTAACCCCAATCTCGGGGATTTAGGTAGTACTAGCTCAAGCCCCCTCCCCTCTTTTTGTCACGACCCACAGCGAGGTCGTCCCTGTAGTTCTGTTACTTATGGAGGTCTGCCGTGTCTTGTGCCTATATCAACTTTAACTCCTTGTGCTACACAGGCCAAATTTTGGGGGCCCATTTTTTAAAAAGAATAGGTTTATAGGTATTTGAAAAATAAATATTTAGTACTTTTTAATACAAAATTAGAGTTTTTAATATCAAAAGGAAATATAAAAAATTCACACTCCTTTTTTTAATATGTCCAAGTTAATCTTTCTTTTCTCCAATCTCTTTATATTTCAGAAACCCCTATATATTTTCTGTCTTTCTCTTTAATATTCTTACTCACATTCTTTCTCCAATATTTCATTACTCACTTTCTTTCTACAAGATTTCATTAGCTCCACTGTTCAAGAATACTTTTAAGCTTCCAATAATTCTATACTTCTATTGCTCTATAAAATATTATCTAATATCAACAATATCTCAAGAAAAAATAAATGAGCTGGTTATATTATCAATTGAATAAAGATAATTAGAGAAAATCGATTATAAAAAAGATTATTAACAACTTTGTATTTCAAAAAGTTAGAAGAATATATTTCAAATAAAACGTATGTTATAACTATCTTTTAAAAATTTAGGCCCCATATTAAACTTTGGCCTTAGGCCCCGCATATCCTTGAGCCGCCCCTGGTGCTACACACTCTTTATCTTAATAAACTAGTTTCTTTTGGACCAAAAAAAAAAGATTAATACACTATACAGTCGTTAGTAAAAAAAATGTTTATATAAAAAATATGTGATTGCCTTAGTGATCTTGGGATTGATCGCGTATTAGTTATTAATAGGATCATTTTTTTTATAAATTGGGAGATACTGATAAATTTATGATCTTCTAAGTGATCTTCGATTGATTATTTGTTAGTTATTAGGAGTACCAAGATCGTTTTTTATAAAGTGGAAGATCCTTGTAAAATCATAGATCACCTATGTATTACCTAGAAATCACTCATGTATTATTTGTGATCTTCGGTTGATCATTTATTAGTTGTTACCAGGATCATTTTCCTATAAAATGGGAGATACTGGTAAATAAATCGCTTTTGTGTTATCCGGAAATTGCCATAAATTTTGTCATCGCCGACGAAGAAATGGATGAGCAATATATTACTATAAGAATCAGAGACACTGCAAGCACATGACTAACCTTATTGTTTCTATTTTCTAGCCGTTCAATTGTTTGAAAAACTTCATGCTTTTGAACAAGAACTTTTTGTTTAAGCATGTTAATATCGCAATGTCAAATATTTTACAAAAAAATTATCTTGATTTTAAGATCACCTTTGTATAACATAGGCGAATATATCTATTCTTATGCGATTTTAGGACATCTTAGGTATTTCACCTTCTTATTATGGAAATTAAAAGAATTGTTGACAATACCAACTAATCAGTGTGGTTGTTTATATGAGTTGACATGTATTTATGCATTACAGGAATTTTAATCTTTCCTCTTTTTTTCCCTAACCATAGTTTTGGATGGAATACTTTATAGGAAGCACTTCCCTTTAACTGGTCATATGCAGCGAGAAATCTGAATTAGTCGAGCCATTGAGTTTCGAATATCAGATGGTTATATCCGAAAAGAACTTTTATTTCATAATCAGATCAAGAGGAGTTTCATGAAGTGAAATATTTACACAAGTAACCTATTTTCTGTGTTTCCTTCTCCAATGTTGAGCAAACTTCAATTCAAATAAGATGGATTGAGTCCAAACTTTTTACTTTAGACAACAAGAGTATCAATCAGTTTCCTTCCCTTGGTCTCTATTGGGAAAAGCAGAACACATGTTGCTGATAAAACAAGAACTGCTTCAAAAACTATGATTGCTGCCATTTGATGAGAACTCCTTACTAATTGCACTGCTATGATTGGAGAAATCATGGCCCCTATTCTTCCCATAGAACTTGCCACTCCAATACCAGTTGACCTTACAGTCGTTGGATATATCTGCATAATAAACAGACGGTTGAAAAGCTTAGATTCTTATAGTTCTTAATATTAGAAAAAAGTGATGCACCACTAGGGATGTGATGTAGACAGCCTATCCTAATGCAAACATTAGTGGCTGCTTCCACGGCTCAAACTCATGACTTATAAGTCACACGAAGACAGCTTTATCGTTGCTCCAAGGCACCCTTTTCAGTCTACATCTTAATTTATGCACAGCGAAAAATGTGCAGAATTGCATTAATCTAAGGGGCGAGGGTTACCTCTCGACAATAGACATTTGAGATGTCGAAATTTGCTGTGATTAACATACGTGCCCCGAATAGCAAAGTAGTAGTTAAAGCCTCATGAAGCCGAGGCATAAGAAGCGGTAAAAGGAAGAGGATGCAGAAGATATACATAAGTGCCATAGTAAATTTCCGACCACCTTTCTCTACCATTATAGCTGATATAAGAAGCCCAGGAATCTCTATAAAAAAGAAAAATAGAATGATTAGTCGTATGTATGAGATGAAGGGAAAACAACATTGTTTTTACCTGCAACACTAGTGATGAGTACATCTCTATAGAGGCTCTGATCATTGTGTATATACAAAGAGATTGACGAGTGTCTACTTTGAGCGCTGCTAAACTGTGAGGTTAGCAATATAATGCCATAATATGAGAAAGTATTTCCAATAAAAACTACCCATATGAGGAGGGTATTTCTTCGTAACGAGGGGGATAGAAGCATCAGTAGCGATGAGAAGCCTGATTTAAAACTTGAGGTTTTGTTTTCTCCAGGGGAAAGCAATTCCTCATTCAGGTCAGTCACTTGATCAGTAACAAGGATTCCAGGGGGAAGTTCTGTCTTATTGACAATAGCTATTTTCCTCAAGATATCGTGTGCATCGCTTATTCTGCCTTTGGCACAGAGATATCTCGGAGATTCTACTGTAAAAATGTACAAGAAAAGTGCTGCAAATGATGGAATAGATGATAAAGCCAGTAACCATCTCCAACCTAATGTTGGCATAATCACCTGCAACAGAAACCAAGAGAATGCCATCAGTTTTTTCAAGCGTTACATCAACGAAACTTGACATGTTGCATGCTTGACCTACGCGAAATCCTTATCTTACTTTCTTTGTTTTTTCACAAACAACTTCATGGATTAGCACACCGGGTGCAGGTAAGCATATGGTTAAGTCATATGTATTCTCGCTTTAATTTTTAACTGCTAAACTTGAGTTGCTTCATCTGATGTAAACATCGGGTGCAGGTAAGCATTTATCTAACGAAGTGTTAGCACTATCTATTATAAGAGTATAGATTAAGGGGAGCACAAGCAAAGGATGTACCATTGCTAATAAAGCCTCAAGTATTGTTCCAATTGACCAAAACGCGTAATAGATAATCATCCACATGCCTCGGCTTTGTGGAGGAATAAATTCAAGAAGCCAAGATCCATATACATAACCTCCGCCTACGCCAAATCCAACCATAATACGTAGAGCGAGAAACCAAATATAATTTGGACAAAAAGTAGTCAGTGCTGCAGGTGCAGCAGTCACTATTGCAACACTCAGAAGACCATTCCTGGTAATGGAAAATGAAAAGATATTAGTCATTCAAAATGAAGTGAGGTGTGACAAATTAAACCAAAGGTAATGACTTTGTTATCTTCTCCTTTACATCCTTAATTTGTTGTTAATACCCTTAAATTATCACTAAGGGTGTGCTTGCTGTGAAAAATATTTTCAATTTTTTTATGTTTGGTTGGTCAAAATATTTTGGGAAGTAACTTCCTTAAAGTGAGGAAACATTCCGAAGGTGATTGTCTCCTCCCCACCCCAACACCCTCACNCCCTGCCCCACTCCTACCCCTCACCCCCAGCTCACCAACACCCCTATAGTATTTGTCTAGATTATATTTAAATGCTTTTTGAATTATTTTCTACTTACTTACCAAAGATAAGAAAGTAAGTAAGAAAATCACTTATCTTTTGGAAAAATATTTTTTATGGAAAACATTTTTCTTCATACCAAACACACCCTATAACATGAACTTATGCTAGCTCAACTGGGCAGCTATTGCTAGACTCAATCATCCCACAGCTGATTATTTTGTTGGAAAAATTCCCAGATTCCAAAATAATAAACTAAACCAGAGTACAAACTTCTCCACTATTATGCTTGTTTGAGTTTATTCATCATGATAGATAAGGAAACAAACAACAACAACAATAAACCCCTAGGAGGGTAATGTGTACACAATCTTACCCCTACCTTTAGACGGTAGAGAAGCTATTTCCGATATATCCCCGGCTCAAGAAGAAAAGGGGAAAAATAGGTTTACCTTCTTCCATAATTGTCAGTGATAAAACCCCAATAATAACATCCAATGAGCATACCAGCAAAAACAACAGTTGTTATGAGACTTTCTTGAGTAGGAGAAAGTTCCCACTCTAACCTTAGCACTGGTCCTATAAATGACAGAATCATAATTTCAAAAGCTTCAGCCATGGAACCAAGACCAGCATAACACAAAACCAAATATTGAAATTTCCCAAAACCAAGTGATGTGAGTGCTTCATCCAATGTATATACAAGGCCAATATCCTGCTCCTCCATCTCCGTCCAGTGACGACTGAAGTTCAGAGTCAACCCTCCACACAAGGCAATCTTCTGATAGAAGAAAGAGGAAGAGCACAACCGATTCAGTGGCACAACATGCGCTTGTATTGTAAAGGCAGGAATGAGTTCAGTGTTCACAACGTTCAAATAAGCTACTTACTTGAGAGTGAATCAAAGAAAAACTAAAATTGAATCCATCTATTCTCTTACTAGCAATATTTACTAACAAAGTGACATGCAAATAACCACAACAACAACAGTGGGGTCTAGATGTATAAGGACCTTATTCTTACCTTGTACAGACAGAGAAACGGTTTCGATAGACCCTCGGTTCAAGTATAAACACAACAATTTAGAACAAGAGATGCAGGAAACAAGAAGGGAAATATGCAGAAACAATAGAAATTCTAATAATACACCGAAGCAGAAGTAATATCAGGAAGTTTTCGAAATCTAAGAAAAAGGAAAGAATAATAACATAGCGACGTGTGAACTTCCATTATATTATATAGTATATTCCATATATGAAAGTTAAAAGTTGCTGAAATCATATAGTTTTCTGCTTCATAAAATAAGCTGAAAATTTGTTTAGTGTTGGATGAATGATTCATGTTGCATAATGGCGCAGTTATTTTTTAATGGGTGAAGAAAGCACATTTGCACCTACCACTTACCACAAAACGCATATAGCTCCAAAATTTTCGTGCAATAAACAAATGATCGTTCGCTTTAACTGATACAATTATTAAGAGAAGACTTAATGATATGAATACTAATTAAGTATTTGTTGCAAATATTTAGCATCATATTTTAACTTTGTAGTATGTAAATTTGAATAACAATTTCAGACAATGTAAAAAAGGGAAAGTAGAACAAGTATTTTGACATAAGACGAACACTATGCTGCTGATTTGAAAATCTAAAACAACTGTGTGAGTTTTTCAGGCAGAAGGAGAAACAAAGTGTAAAAGAAAAGATAAAAATCATATTTGGTCCTTTTCACTTATATTCTCTGAAAAGGTCCCGAGATTTTTATTCAATAGAGAAAAAGATGTTTTGTTTATAAATTTATCTGCAATCATATTTTTTGAAGCAGTTCTAGTTTTATCAGCAGCCAGTGTTCTGCTCTTCCCAGTAGAGACCCAGGGTGTGTTTGGTACGAAAATAATTTTTTACTAACCCANATGTGTTTGGAAGTTTACGCGTACCAAACACCGAAAAATGAATAAGATTACTACTTGTTTTCCATGAAAATATTTTCTTGAAAAATATTTTCTGTTATACCAAACACACCCTAAGAGTAGGGAACTAATTGATAATCTTGTTGTCTAAAGTTTGGACTTATTTCATTTTACTTGTATTGAAGTTTTCTCTACTCCACATTGGAGAGGAAAAGAAATGCAAATAAGTTGGTATCATTCTCAACTACTTGTGTGAGATTGGTCGAGCTGCTATAGAACTGCTTAGGGTGCCAAAAGGGCTGGACGAAAATGGGTAATGTAAAAACGAATAAATTATTCGACCTGACTCATATTTAATACGGATAAAAAAAGGTTAATCGGCGAATACTATGACCCCTAATATATACTAGTATAAAGTTTTTAATTTATTTTATTTGCACATATTTTTGCAAAATCATAAAACATTTCACAGCATCAAAGTAGTCATTATTTGTGTCATAGATTCCATTAATATTCAGCACTCCGGATTTGACCTCACTTAGATTATTATACTTTTCCTTTTCCTCAATTTTTTGTTTTCAACACATGTCATTTGGGTTTCATCAATCCTTTCTTTTTGTCACCCATTTATTTGTCTCGAGTAGGATTTTGGAATTGGTTCATTTTATATGATTGTAATTATACACTGAATTTAAAATGTTAATTTAGTTTAAAATATTATAGCTATACGAAAATTAGGAAACGATTAACATGATACTCACTTCATTTCAATTTATGTAAGGCTCATTTCATTTAAACAGTTATATGTTTGATGTGCTAATAGCAATTTTTATTAAAATGGTTAAAATATTCTTAAATATTTATAAAATTATAGATAAAAAGTATCTTTACAAGTAGAAGAACAAACAATTGAAATAAAATGGATAGAGATATGAGTTCTATTTTGGAAGAGTATTTTGGTTAGACTAATAGCTTGTTTCTATGTTTGTTAGTTGTTACATGTTGTATTGTATCGTATTGCTACTTTAAATACAATGTTTGTTTTAATTATTACTTAAATTTTATTGTATCGTATCGTTAAATCCGTCGTTACGCAATGACGAAAAGTTACACTTTATGGAATGACCGATTTGGTGTGTCGCATTATTTTTTTATTTTTTTCTCTCATCTTGCCCTTTTTTATTATTAAATAATTATATTTTTCTTTTATTCTGCCTTTTTATATAATAATTTTACCTCTTACCTTACCTTTTCTTTACAAGTTTATTTTTTATTTTGTCGGTGAATGTGAGTATCAAACGACGATAAATAATATAATTTATTTAAATATTATATATATCAAAACGATGCAGTACATATAATAAAATATTATACCATGCATTATGAAATTACACAAAGAAGCTTTAAAAAATACAAATTTTGAACCTACCCCATAAACTTTCCACTTTGTTTCCTTTAGCAACTTGAGAGTTAAAGTTGATAGTGCTTACCACTTGGAGCGAACAAATCCATTTGGTTTGACCAAAGAGAAGTACCGGGAATCTAGGAACCGTCTATTTGGCTGTCATTTCACCTTCAATTTGCTTTATCCCTTTGATTCACTGACCCAAATTTTGCGATGGCACAGCAACAGCAGCAAGAGGAGGAAGATGAATTTGTGTACACATTGGATGAAGCACTTACATCATTGGGTTTTGGCAAATTCCAATATATGGTGTTGGTTTATGCGGGTCTTGGATCTATGGTTGATGCTGTTGAAGTTATGATTCTTTCTTTTATTGGACCAGCTCTTAAATCTCAATGGGGACTTTCTTCTACCCAAGAAAGTCTTATTACTACTGTTGTATTTTCTGGAATGCTTATTGGTGCTTACCTTTGGGGCCTTGTTGCTGACAACTATGGCAGAAGGCAAGCCTTTTTTCCTTTTCTTTTATTATATATTTTTGTTCTTTACATGGCTGTTTCAATTAGACATAGTGAGAAGTTTGTGCTTTTCTTTCTCTTTTTCAATTTGAGTTGTTCCCTATGTTCCGATATTTAGTAGTTTGACTCGGCATAAAGTTTAAGAAAAAAATAATTTTCAAACTTAGGTCTCGTTTAGTATGTGGGATAAAGCGTGATACTAAATTTATACTATGTTTGTATAAATATAGTCCAGGCTTAATCCTGGATATCTATCTTATCCCATCAAACTTGGTAATATTTTATCCCACCTCCTAGCTGGAATAAATTAATCTAGGGATTATAATCCCGGGACTATATTACCGGAATAATTTAGTCCGTGTACCACATGATTCCTTATGGTTTTAAACATGTCATAACATTTGTATTGTTATAAAATTTTTGAAACTTGTGATTCTAAGCATGTTATAACATTTATGTGGCTATAATAGCTCATTACATGTACGATAGGAAGTTTAAAGTTAATTGTTTTGAAACAGACTAATAACAAAATAGTGCCATACAAATTGGAATGGAGGGAGTATTATAAAGAGCTATGTGACTAGCGAATAATTATATTGTGAGTGATTATAGTTGTAGCCTGTAGGTCAGTCAACTTGAACCTGATCAGTTTCTTAAATGCCTTAAATGTTTTCTCACGCTTTTAGTTACTGCTATTGTTATTGTTGATGAATTTGGTTATCAAATGCAATACTTTTTTTTATGACCGAGAAATCCATACGGGACTAACCGCACCGCCTTTTACTCGGGGGTAATGGATTGCCCCTCTACCCTTCTCCATATAACTGACTTAGTTCATATAGCGCAGGGCTCGAACCTGTGACCTGAGTCACAAGTCTCTCAACCTTTTGCCACTTAAACTAATCCCTGGTTATTAAATGCAATACTTAGTTGTTTAATAAATGATAGATGCATTTGCTCAATAGTTCTTTGGTTTAAGTTTGTCATATCTGTGCACTGAAAATGATTATCCACTTTCATTTTCCATCACCAGGAAGGGTCTTCTGACTGTGGCAATAGTGACTACCATATCTGCATTTCTGAGTTCCTTTTCTCCAAACTATATATCACTGCTCATTCTTCGTATGCTGGTCGGAATTGGTCTGGGTGGTGGTCCTGTATATGGATCTTGGTTTCTTGAATTTGTGCCTTCTAGAAACAGGGGCACATGGATGGTTATCTATTCAACTTTTTGGACAATTGGAACAATACTTGAGGCGTTATTGGCAATGGTACATCCTTAATTTGCTTGTGATATCCACTGCTTATCTAAAGATATCGTTCTCCTCTTCTCAGGATTTTTCACAAGATTATCATTTTATCTACACTCACCTGGTTCCCTTTAATAATTCGTGCCAACTCAGAAGAGCTTAAGTTAGGATGGATTAGCCGGTGTTACTATCCATTTTTTTTACTTTCTTGAAATTAGCTTTCCCTGAGGTCCAAGCGCAGATTTTAAAGGATGACTAGAAGTCTATCATCCAAATGTAGAAGGTGCCGTATGTGTAAATAATGTCTTTAGGATAAGGAATGGCTGAGTAACGCTTCTCAAATACGTGAAGGAACATGTTTATAAGTGAATAAGATCCGCTTTTTGCTTTTAGCTAACAAGAAAAGAGTATTTTGTTTTTTCCAATTTATAATTTATAAAAGTGATATTTGTCTGCAAACTCTTTTTCTTTATAAATTAAAAACATGTCCATCTCTGTTTGCATTCTTTTGAAGGGTAAGCATGATTAGCATGATCTGAAAAGTGGTGTCTATATATATAATAATTCGTGCCAACTCAGATGAGCTTAAGTTAGGATGGATTAGCCGGTGTTACTATCCATTTTTTTTACTTTCTTGAAATTAGCTTTCCCTGAGGTCCAAGTGCAGATTTTAAAGGATGACTAGAAGTCTATCATCCAAATGTAGAAGGTGCCGTATGTGTAAATAATGTCTTTAGGATAAGGAATGGCTGAGTAACGCTTCTCAAATACGTGAAGGAACATGTTTATAAGTGAATAAGATCCGCTTTTTGCTTATAGTTAACAAGAAAAGAGTATTTTGTTTTTTCCAATTTGTAATTTATAAAAGTGATATTTGTCTGCAAACTCTTTTTCTTTATAAATTAAAAACATGTCCATCTCTGTTTGCATTCTTTTGAAGGGTAAGCATGATTAGCATGATCTGAAAAGTGGTGTCTATATATATATATATATATATATATATATATATATATATATATATATATATATATATATATATATATATATATACACACACACACAGAACAAACACATTTCTTTCAGTTTTGATTTCTTGTGATTATCTTCTTATAACAGTTTTCTACTTCTATCTATATTTCCAGTTCTCCAAGAGTTTCTAGAATAATTGTACCTTTGTCTCAAAATAAATAAGCACCTATTTTTCACCCAATTAAGTGTAGGCACTTATCAGCACAATGCTCTCCTCCCCAAAAAAAACCAGGTCTTAAATCCTCGCCAACGAAAACTAATTCAAAGAAAGAACCGGGGGGGGGGGGGGGGGGGGG